TAGGTTTACGGAAAGTGTCTAGCGATTTTTCCGTCACGTCATATCATGTCATGTGGTGCATTTTTTTTTCATCTTCCAGTCGCATCGAGACTGCAAAAGATCTCATTCTAAACATTCTTACATTCGGCAAATTCTTGTCAAGCGTTTCCTTTCGAACCACCCTTTCGTCCCGAATCTTTTCACGCTTTGTTCTTGACCCGCTAATGCCTAGCACCCCTCTTGCGATGCTCTATATTCATGACATTGACAGCTATGCTTTTCGATGATCGCCGAGAGGCACGATAATCACATTCTCTCGCATGACTCCTTCATGCATACAGCGGCCCCATCTTTCCAAGAGACTCATTTTGCCCATTCGTGTTAATTTTCCATTCGTCATTCCACCCGCTCCTACGCTCATTCAATTGTCTTCCGCCCTATATTTCTCTCCCACTACTCACATGGCACCAGGCATGGAAGCCGAGTCCCGGTCCGTATACTGGTGTGGCCGGATGATCAATATCAGGCCCTGCGCGCTTGACCTAAGCGTTATCAAGACTTTCAACGACTGTTGCGGCCCTCGTGCGGCGTGCATTGGGACAGAACCGGAGGGAAGCCAGACAGTACAGGGCACCGCGCGCACCAGATGCTTGCAAAGGACGACCTTCCCGATGGCTGCGAAGATAGCCACCCTGTCCGTCACGTCCAACCACTCCCAGAGACAGCGCCCTGGCAATGGCTTCTCGGCGCCTCCCTTTGGAATGAACCCAAACAACTTTTCGCTCTCTTTATTCGCAAAGAGAATGCGCCCCTGAGCGTCGTTGGACAGCAGCAGCATCGCATCCGGGGCCGCCTCTACCAGCGTCTTGTACACTTGGAGCCTGCCCACCTCCGCGCGCAGGGCCTCCTCTTTCTTGGACTGCCGCTCGCGAGCCATGGCACTATATTTTCGTGCCCGAGCTTTCTTCCACTGTATCTGCTCTTCGGGCGTCAGCATGGAGAAATCCATACGGGGGGCTCGCCGTTTTTTGCCCAGGGTAGTCAAGTCCAAGTGGTAGTTTTTCCCATCCTCACTGCCCTCATCATCATCGGCCTCCTCCTCCTCATTCCCACTGCTATCTCTATGGATCTGTGCGTCGAATTTGTTATTCCCTCTGTAGGAACGCGTCGAAACACCCGTCATGTCAACGGGGGGGACTATCCTCTGCGGAGGAGCGTTTGCATCTACACACCCGGCTGGAGTGGGAGCTTCCAAGGCCGTGGGAGGTCCTGAAAAACGACGCATAAATTGTCCGTTCACAGGACCCATGACATTGGATGAATCGAGGCGGCCTTGGCCCAAGTTTTTGGATTGCGCGAAGCCCTCGGACGTGCCCGCAGGAAGGTCCTTCTCGGATGTGGAGGACGAAGTAGATAGGGAAGGACAGGAGGACGACGACGCATGAGATCGAGAAGATGTAGCTGAGAGTAAGGGGAAAGGGGAGTATGATACTGTGGAAGCGTTCCCATCTTGTTGTTGCACGGGAGGCATGTAGGCGAGCTTCTCGGGCACTGGAGTGGGATAGCCCACATCGCGCGAGAAGGATGAGGCCTGAGACAAGGCTCTCAGCGCCTGCGAAGATAAGGACGATGCGCCGTTAGAAGTGTTTGTGGGCGGTGTGGATGTGTTCTTATCTCGCCCAAGCCCGGCCATCCGTGAGAATTTCTCAAGCGGGTGGTAAAATTCTCCCTTGGGACCATCTGGGTTCTTGGAAGCGGATGTTGTCTCGACTTTGCCATCGGCCGGCAGCCCACAAGATGATGTAGATGGACAATTTGTAGTGCTACTTATTTTGTTAGATTGTTTCTCTTGTATCCTATTGCAAGCCTCCAGTAATGATTTGAACCCGTGGCCTTCCCGCTGAGCTCCGTTGGTGGAACCAGTACTGGCTGCTCTGGATTTGGTGGCCCCAAGCTCCACCGAGCCGACCATTCTGTGGGATGAAATAGATACAAGCATTGATCAATTCAGCAAATATTCTATGAAGAGTCGTTTTAATTTTCGGAAAATTACTAAAACACATATTTTGTTGTCGAATATCTCGACATCCGTCACTTCGCCCAACAAAACAGCAACTGCGGTGGAAGTCCGGATGATTGAATATGTCCACGCATGGATGAATGACAGCGACATGTGAGCAGAGCTTTTCAAACGTATCCACTTGCGCTACGTAATGTGTGAACGATCTGGCTCATTTCCCATGCACCCCTCCTGCAGATCGAGTTCTCTGAGAATACGGGGAAGACCCATAATAATGGAAGTGTAACGATTGCCGAAGTCCACGGGATCGCCGTCCTGGTCGCACGCGAGGTGGATGCGCAGGCCCCAGGCCACTTTGCCATGGAGCAAAGAGACCCGCTCAGGCGTTCAACACGTAGACCTAGGATAGATTGTCATGCAAGCGGACACGCCATTGAACAGTTGCTCTTTTGTCGGTGATTAGAATTAGTGCGCGGTATTTTGTCCGAGGGTACAACTCCCGGCAAATCTCCAGCGGGCGAGCCAGCTTTCATGGACATCGGAAGGCGGTGCCGAGCTAACGTGCAACCAATTCTGCTTCCTGGGAAGAAAACCATGGACGCTGAAGGTCGCCACGGACAACAATTTGCGAGGAGATGCCGAATCCTTCTTGTGACGCGTTCGCCAAGTCTTTCTTGTGAAAACCTTTAGGTGCCCTGTTTTTTTGGGTCGCATCTTGAACTGATATGTCTTGTCTCTCTTATTCGCCTGACCTGTTGGCAGGCCGATGGCGATCCACTATTCAGTTGTCGAACTCAAACTTAGGTAAGCTGACATGACTTGTTCAAGGAAGCCAGTCATGAGTGTCATGACGCATAATATCGAGTTACAAATGTGACAGACCAGATTTCGTCTTGATCTCAGGTGGCCGGCCTAAGTAAAGGCATGAGGTGCTTGATACCGCATGGCCCCAATTTGCGGTCCCTCTATGTAACCCTGCGGAATACTCGTCATATTGATTTGTTCACAAATAGGACTATGTAGTCATCTTGAAAATAATAAGAACCAAATTGGCGTGTACGAACCATGGAGGTCGACAACCCGATAGTGTGAGGAGCAGGGAGGAAAATGGAGAAGGGAGGAAAATACTTGAGGAAAATTGAGGGTTGATAGCGCCGGTATGCCGCATTAAATACGTCTTCTTGTTTAATAATCTGACGCCATAATTCATATTGTTCTGAAAAATACGTACATGCGACTGACTCGCGAGCGGTGGGTTTTTGAAGTGAAGAAAAAAGCCTTTATCAAGAGAAAGGCGGAGCGCTCAAGATATCTGACTACGTAGTAAGGGAAAACCTACTTAGAAAGCAGAGCAATTGCCTCAAAAGGACAATTGAAGCAGTAGATGGCGATGTAATTGTCCTATGAAGTATTCCACCGCCAAAGCAGGTATTGAAACCTGTCACTTTATGTTGTATACCAAAGCCCTAGAAACAGCCCATCGACTGCCAAAGACCACATCATAGAGATATTCCTGCACCACACCGCTCTTAGTAGCTTTATCTTTCGACGCATGAGAAATTGAATGTGGTCGCAAAGGTGAGGTTCGTGGCATGCATGTTGGTGGGATTTTCATGAGCCTTACCCAAGTGTTTATGTGGCCCACACGAGAGCCGATACCATACTCTAAAGGCGTCAGGTGCAAAACCATATGATGAGTTACATTTGTGATGATTTCTGTGTTGGGTGATCATACGCATCTATTCAACTCTTGTTGCTTTAGGGCCTCTTCAATGAGAAAGCTAGGACGAATTGCATCACACAAGTTTGCGCATCTGATTTGCTTTCCAGTTGATCATATGATCGACTCTCGCTTTTTCCGATATTGAAATAGAGAGACTTTTCATCCTTCCAGATGTCACTGGGTAACACGTGGGAACACATGCCCACGATTTTGAAGGCTTGATTTTTGTGCGAAATTGACGGCAGCAGGTATTATGCGATTGGTCATAGTCCCACCTCTTGAACCTTATCTCTTTTGGCGTATATTATCGCATGAAACGTTTCTTTTAAAATAGTCGATCAGGGAAAGTCTCCTAGTATCCGAAGGTCGGCGCTTCCCAAGACTCGTTTTCCCCTTATAACAATGCAGCCACATCCAATCACATGGTGTAAATAAAATGGCTTATAGCAAATAGGATCAAACTTAGATTCTACATAAGCGCGCTATTTTAAAAGCAAATTTTAAAATGCTTATTCTGTGAAAGTCAAGGCAGCGCATTTACCTCCCGCGGATTGTTTGCGTCATATTTTGACAAAGAATGGACCGGTGTCGTCAAAGTACCCTTTCGACAGAAAAATGTCTGGTGTTAGAAGCCACAAACGGCAACCTCTCGGAGAAAATGTACTACACGCGGTATAAGTCAAACCCATCAACAGGGGACATACAAATAGTGATGGAGGTCGGAAAAGCACTCAAGAAATGAGTTGTTTCAACGCGTGCATGAAAACGGATTAAAATGTACAATAATTGACCTTATCACGTCCTTCTGGACTAGAACTTGGTTTGCCAATGACGAGGGACATTTTGCAAACACTAGAATGCTTTTCCTTTCCCATCCCTCCGGTCCTGCGCCCAATAGCTCGGGATGCTCGCCAAGAAAAACATCTCCTGTCGCGCATTTTTTCCCCTCCCTTTAAACGAACATGAAATCTACGTTTAGACACGTAAAAGGTAGCGAGCACACTACCTGGGAATAAAAAGAAAAATGATCGCACCAGCCCTCCATTGATTGCTCTCCAACAATGCGGAGTGGAGTCCCTGGACCCCGCAGGAGGTTATCGTATGCTCGACAAACGGTCACAGCCCCGGGCTTCCAAGCACTGAGGGTGTACGTTGCCGGAAAGGCATTACGTAACAAGATCAGTGATAGAGATGATAGAGGTGCATCGGGTTTCGAAGAGATGCTGTCTTTTGATTTTGTAGAGGTTTTCGCTCAAACTGCCCAGCTCTTCCATATACATACCCAAAGGGAAAACATGTCTCTTCCGGATAAATTGCCACCTCTACCCGTCTCGGAGGCGTCAAGACCACCATCAAAATTTCTCATTAATCTGGTTATGGCAACCATATTTGCTACAACTTTGTCGTATCGAGGTCTGCGGAAGCACTCCCTTTCCAAGAGTGGCGCATTGGCTGCTTGGGTGGTTGGCTTTTTAAGCATGGGGGCATCTCTCCGGTTCGGTGCTCTGATGATTCTATTTTACCAAAGCAGCTCAATGCTCACCAGGTATCGATGTGAAACGAAGGCACTTTTGGAAGAAGATCACAAGCAAGGGGGCCAACGCTCTGCAGCCCAAGTCCTTGCCTGCTCTTTTTTGGGCACCCTGATCGCGGTTGCCTTCGTCTTCCTCCTCGGCCCCGACGACCTCCCCTTAAATTTTGAAGCGAGCCCATTGCGTAGTCGACTTCTCTGTGCGTACGTGGGTCACTATGCATGTTGCAACGGGGACACGTGGGCGTCCGAAATTGGCATATTGAGTCCTTCATCCCCGCGCTTGGTCACGGCCGGCTTTCGACGGGTCGTGCCCAGGGGTACGAACGGTGGTATGTCCTTGACGGGCACCTTGGCATCTATCGCTGGAGGTGCACTGATTGGGACCGGTCACAGCATCCTCGGTTTTGTCCTTGGAATGCCAGATGACGCCTCCGGGGCTGGATGGTGCCCAGGCTGGTTCTTCATGACTGTGATCGGGGCCGCATGTGGTTTCATCGGCTCTTTGTCCGACTCGATCCTGGGTGGACTTTTCCAAGCGACCTGGTACTGCGCGGAAAAGAAGAGGGTGGTGAAGCATCCGACAGCTCAGGAGCGGCAAGGGCGGGGCGCGGAGCAGGTGCGATTAATCAGCGGCCTGGATCTGTTGAGCAACGAGCATGTAAACCTGATATCCATCGCGCTTTCCACGGCTCTCGCCCCCGTTTTGGGGCGTTTGCTCTGGTGAAGTAGGTAGACGGGTGGGCAGTTGCCTTTAGCGTGCAGACTTACGGCCTGCGGTCGACGACGTGAATATACGCCTGAGCATGCTTTCCGTTCTCAGAAGTCTTGATTACTTTCATCCTCTTGGGCTTTCCTATCAAACAATGCACTGTATAATCTTTCTTCAATCTAGCCCCCCTGTCGAAGACATGGCATTCTTCTGGTGCCCTTGTTCCTTCTCCCAACATCATCACCACTCTCCTCTCATTCCTCCCCGCTCTTCGTTACCTCATATCGACACCTGAGCCACATTCAACGGCACCCTCTCCCCTCGCCCATCCTGTGAGCAGCCCACATCCACTACAACACCTCTCTCCCTCCATTGGTCAAATACATGGCGCAAATGCGCGTACTCCGCTGGGCGATTTGTTTGCAAGACGTGAGGACTTGCCGCAAAGCAGACGAAGACCGTGTCCACGGCCGACGACACCACGCTCACAAGGAGCAGGCAATTACCCAGACCGATCAGAAAGCCCGCCAGGGCGACGAAGGTGGCGGAGGCGGGGAGGGCCTCGAAGGCCTCGGGCAGGAGCCGCGTTGTCATGACCCCTAAAAAGGCCGTGACGCCGCCCATGAGCATGCAGCCGAGGAAGAGGACATTGCCGATCAGATAATCGTTGAGGATCACTTCCCATCCCCTCGCTTCGAACAAACGCAGCGCCAGACGGGCAGCTTCGCCGTACGGGTAGCCCCAGACCCCTACGAAGACGAAGGCGAACCGGTTGAAGGCCCGCCAGGCCGCCTCCACGCAACCCAGCAGGTAGTCCAGCACACACCCACACACCCAGCGGCAGCCACAGAAACAGCACCCCGGGCACAGGCAGCAAGGACAGCAACCCGGCCCCCGTTGGCTCCCGCCCAAGCCCACGCCCCCCAGGCCGCGCAGGCCGACCCTGCACGTCTCGATCAACGAGACCGCCAATGAGCCCTTACAAACGCTTCCCAGCGAGGGCCCCGTCGCCCGAGCCAAAGCTAGGCTCACGGAATCCCGGGCCGGGCCGGGAACATACCACCAGGCCGCCACGGCCCCGACCACGGTGCAGCGCAAGGTGTTCTGACAGACGCCAGCGCCCCAGTACAGGGAGAAGAGCAGAAAGAAGCCTAGAAGCGCCTCCTGCCCGGCTCCATACTGGCGACCGGACTGCAAGTGATTCCCGTGGGACTCGGCAGCGACGGTTGTATACACGCCCGTGGCGGCCACGGCCCATATCACGACCCAGAGAAAGTGCAGAGCCACGAGGAGGTAGGCGGCCCCGAAAAGATTCCGAGACTCGGCCACGGCGCGACAGGCGGTCCCCAGGATGCTAGAAGAGACCAAGACGCGAGATGGGTCCTCGCGGAGGAGACAGAGGCCGGCGACGGCCAGGGAGGCGAAGAGCAGGCAGCCGATCAGGTGGCCGGAGAGGAGGGAGAGGAGGGCGAGGAGGCCGGCGCTCATGATGCTGAGAAAAACGGTGCTGGTGATAAGGGCTGTGGACAGATTGAGCATGAACCCCAACCACACAAAGGACAGGACGTTCGCGACCAGACCAAGGCCCGCCGCCAGGGAGAGGAGGTTGCGAGCGACGGCGACGGTCTCGGGAGAGTGGGCGAGGGGCGCGGTCCGACTGGCGTCGTCGACCAAGGCGTGCTCCCAGAGTCCGAGGGAGGGAAGGCCCAGACGAAGAGCGAGGGTGATGAGGAAGCAGGCGTGGAGGAGAAAAAGGACCAAAAACCCCCAGTCCCGGGGGACAGACGTCTGGGGGGGGGGAGTGGCATGCAGGTCGGCCATTATGACATGGGCTGCATGGCCATGCGAGGAAGGGGCGTGGTGAGGAAGGGAAGCATCCGATGGAGGCAGACACTGGGGCAGGGATGCGAGCGGGGCGGGCGGGGCGCTGCCTTCCACCACCACGCCTTCCACGGTGCCGGAAAGGGTCCCTTTGGAGAGCTCCATCTCTGCCTGACTATGGTAGGCTTGAGAGGGGCCAGAGCGCTCCTCCACCACCGTTCCGATGACAGGATATGATCTAGAATTCATATTGTTGTAAGGGGCGACGGCGACAGGTGGCGGCGGGATCACTGTAATCGTAGTAAAATTCCTGTCTCCAATTGTGCGGTAAGAGCTGTCCCTCCAGGAGCAGCATGCAAGGATCCAACCAGACCAACAACAGAGCGGGGTGAAAGCGCCACCACAGCATGCTAGGCATGCTGCCGAGCAACACAGTATGAGGGAAATGACGATAAGCAGGCCTCCAAGGGAGATAGAGAAGATCTCCAGGTCGTCCAAATCGGCCATTGGGTCCAGAAGCCCAACTTAAGCGCAATAAGAAATATGAGCACGAGAACGCGGCTAGGCTATTCAGGACATGTAAAGGGTATTCACTCTGTGATGTTAAAGGTTCGGAGGTGAGCATTGTGATCGTGCTCGTTTGTAAAGTTAACACCTCGGGAAGCGCGGGCCTTCCCAGGGGAGGTCGAACCGTTGCCCACGCCAGGCGCACGTCTCTGAACGAGCGAGGAGTCTGGAGGATTCTGGAGCCCGAGGAAAAATGCAACTTACGCGTGTTCGTGTCACACACATGCGCACATAGCCGATACTTTGGAAGACTATTTGGTGGTGCCCTGGCCTTACCATTGGATTGAAGCGTTCGGCGGCCTCGGCAGTCGACATCCGGGCACAATCGGGAGCCAGACCTGTGCCCCTTCCTGGGCCTGGAAAGACAATATCAAATACCGCGCAAAATGCGCCGAACGCTAGCTACACTCTATGTGGCCGGTGTGGTAGCTTCTCTGGGCTCGGGAAGGGCCTTGGTGGTGGATCAGCCGTGCTGCTCCAAGCATCTTCACGTGTAAGTGAAAGCGCCTGACTCGTCCTGGTCCAGAATGGCATGCCTTCTCATTACTGCTTTCACGAAACCTTTACGCGCGCATGCGCTCTACACATTGTATAAAGTATTGTCTACTGGGAGGCGCGGGGCGGACCACAACTTGTTTGTCTCTCTCTGGTCTCATACCTGAAACATCCTTTCATATCCTTTGACCATTTATACCATTGCTCGCTTATTCAAACCGACCCTTTTCTAATCCCACACAAAGACCCGCCGCGTTCGGCCCCAATATCCTCGGTCTGGAATCGCCCTTGCATGCCAGAGAACTTGTGATGGTGGAGCCTGAAGATGCGTGCTCTGACCTTTTCCCAAGGAGAGCTTCCTACCAGGATTCCTTTTTTTCTTCCTCCTCACCATCTTCCCTTTCCGCTCCCTCGCTTCGAGGTAAAATCGCGCTGATCAAACGAAATGGATGCAATTTTACAGAAAAGGTGTGGCGAGCCCAGCAAGCAGAGGCGGCGGGAGTCATCGTCTACGACTCGGCGGCCCGTGAGCGGTGGGGGACCATCATGTCAGGCGTGGAGGAGTGGACGTCGCGCATCACCATCCCCTCGGTCTTCGTCTCGCACTCCACGGGGCTGAGCCTCAGGAACGCCGTTGCCCAGTCAGAACGCCAGTCCTCCGGGCCCGGTTTTGAGGGGGCCGCGCGTGTCCGGGTCACTCTTAACGACACGGGCCACGTACGGGCCAAGACGAAGCAGATTGGACCTATCGAGACCCTCGCCACCTACGTGGTCGTCTCCCTCGTTCTGCTTTCCTTCTCCGGCTGCTGCGGCCTCCTCCTCGCCCTCTGCGTTACCTGCTACCAGCGAGCCTTTCGGCACCGGGCCCTTCGTGGGCTCAAGGTGGAGAAATACCAACGTAAGAAAGTTAGCCAGCAGCCACTGCTTGCCTACAACAGTAAAGACAAGGGCAGCAGCGCCTCGACATCCCCCTCTGCCCTCTTGTCGCGCGCGAGCCCCACCTCCCTCCCCGACAGGCGCAAAGGCCTGCGAGGCTTGTGGGGTCTCTTGAGCTTGCGACGTGTCATAAACAAGCAGCGCTCAAGAATTCCGCTTCCACTACCTGCTCACCCGCGTCTGGAGTCCTTGCCAGCCTCGGGTCTGGGGAAGGCGCGGGGGGGGCGCTCTCCTTGCCCTCTCACGGGAGACGGGGAGGCGCCGACGGCTTGTGAGGGGGTAGGAGCGTCGAAGGACTCCTGGAGCGAGGAGGAAGAGCAGACGACATGTGCCATTTGCTTGGACGAATATGAAGATGGCGATCTTCTGCGTTTTCTGCCGTGTCAGCACAGATATCACGACAAGTGTATCTTGCCCTGGTTGCTGGAGAAGTCCGAGGCCTGCCCCATGTGCAAAAGGCCCTGCTTCTCGACGGTTCCACGACCCGGTGGCAGCGAAAGGAGAGGAAGGCAGGAGAGAGCAGCCACCACGGTAGCGCTATCATCTCGTGCGCATGAGCGATGGGAAGAAGGAGGAGGAGAGGGTAGGAGAAGGCACGAGAGGGAAGGCAGCGCGCAGGGCCCAGACAGCGCAACGTATCCCCCGACGCTCGACGTACAGATTTTAGATGAGATTGTGCTATTGTTAACAAACAATCTGTCGCTTTTAGCTATGCTCTTAGTAGGGGTGGTGACATGCTGCGTTTTGCTCGGGGCAGTAGCGCTCTTGAGACCGAATGCCTGAAGTGCTTGGAGATAATAGAGAACATAGGAAAAGAAACTAGCACCAGGTGTTCCATCCAGCCACAGAAACAGCAAAAACAAAGGAGAGGAAAGGAAGGCCGGAATTGTACAGGCACTGGCCATCGCGGTAGAAAGCAGGCAGCAGTCCGTCGTGAGAATCGTCGCCGGGGGCAGGAGGTTGGGAAGAGATAAATGTCCTCAAAAACCGTCGACACCAGGCAGGGAAATGAACGTGCTTCCATTTCGTACTCGTCCGAGTGTCGATGCAAATGCGAGACTGGTCTTATCCATAAATACTTATCCGCGAAAGTAAAAATTCGAACACTCAGCCCTCCCGTTGCGCCTGCGCGACTGCAGACTTGCGTCTCATCAACAGATGATGTTTACCTCGCATAACTAATTGCCAAACCCACGACCCACAGAGACTAATAAGGGCAGTGACATGTTTTCAACCCGCTGCACCAGTGCCCGTTCATTTACTGCCGATCTCCATTAATGGATATAGCGGGTGGTGTTTGCATGGATGTGGAAGAAAGCTCGGCGTCCTCCATTGCCCTTCAGATTACTTTCGATAAAAAGAAAGCAGCCGTGGAAGATGAGTTGACACGCTTGGCGTCACTACCTTCGCACTCTTCGCATGTTATTCATCGGAAGCGTGTAGCGCAGAAAGCCTTGGAGCTTTTGGGAAAGCAGGAACGCACCAGGGAAGAGTCCGACGAGCTCTCCAACCTGTTGGGCGCCCTCAGTCTCTAAATACGCCCTGGAAGACGCCGCAATTCTCGGTACATCAAGACATAGGCCGTGTGTCTCTTGCACGATGGCTGATTTTGAAGGAAGGTGTGAGGACATCCTTATGTTGGCCGGCGAGGCCTTGGGCATAGACCTCAGCTACCTCTCTCCTAATTCTGCATCATTGGATCAGTACGAGACCTCTCTTCAACGGAAAGTAGATGAGTTGCGAAGTATTTTCTTCCCATATTGGTCCTGCCAGCCTACGATTTTTCGCTCGCCGCCTGTGCACTACCGCCTCCGGGCCAAGTTCGGGATCGGCCGCGTGCTCCCGCAAGCATCCCACCCGGCAGGCCCCATGGCGGGCATCACGGAGTCGGCGAGGACTGGGGCGCCACAGGGGTCTCCCGGTAAGCTCTGCTACCTCATGTGGGGGGCCGACAAGAAGCCGGTCGTGATCTCGTCGTTCCCCTTGGCCTCCCGTCGCATCAATGACCTTATGCCTCGCCTGCTTCTCGCACTGGGGGAGGGGCCCTTGATCTTGCGTCGAAGCCTCCGCGCCGTGAATTTTCTGGATACTTTAGCGGGGGATACCCTCATTGCTCTCATCTATGAGACGGCCTGGGCAGAGGGCGGGGAAGCAGCCAAGGAGGAGTGGGTGGCGGCGGCACGAGAGCATGTGAAGGAGGCTCTGGGCGTGCAGGTGGTGGGGAGGGGCAAGAGGGTCGCCCTGCCCGTGGACAGGGCCTACGTGCTGGAGAAGTTCTGTCTCTCTCCTCCCCCGCCAGCCTCGTCACGCGGCGCGTCGCCCTTGCCTCCCTGCGCGCCTGGGACCGGTGGGGCCGACACGGGCAGGGACCCGAGAGGAGGGCCAAGGCGGGCTCCGGCCGGCGTCCCGCACCCTTGTCCTTCGATCTTGCGGTACAAGCAGTGGGACGGGGCGTTCTCCAACCCGAACGGGTGCATGGCCCTCCACACCCTCCGCTGGCTGTGTGCGCGGGCCGACGCCGTCCTGCAAAGAGGCGATGCCCCTCGTGGCGTGCAGGCGACGGGGGGGGAGGCCGATGAGAGGGGAAGGGAAAGACAAATGGAGGACGGGGACCGGGAGCAGCAAGGGGACACGGAAGGTCGTGGAGGGCCTGGAGGCTGCGAGGGGTGTGTGGACGTTGCATCGGGGGGAGAGGGACGGGTGTGCCGCGAGAGGCAGGGCTTGCGTCCCCGCGTCTGCCGCCCCCCCCCAAGCGGAGACAAGCCGCCTGCTTTCGATTTGTTGGAGCTCTTTTGCGGCGGAGGAAATCACACGGTCGCTTTGAGCCGGAAATTTCGTCGGGTGGTAGGCGTGGAAATTGACCGGCGGCTGGTGGCCGCAGCCAAGGAGAACCTGGCCCTGAACGGTGTGAAGAACGCCTCGGTCATCCAGATCCCCAGCGAGAGGTTCCATCCAGAGCGCTTGGGCCATTATCGGCGGCAGCAAGAGCAGGAGGAGGAGCACGACGGCGAGGGAGCGAGGGCAAGAACGATGCTCGGGCCGGGGAAGCGGGTAGCTAGTGCCGGCGGGGAGGCCGGGCTGACCGCACGGGCGCAGGGCATGGGGCAGAGTCCACCCGGTGAGGACGACCCTTCCTTTCGGGTTGTACTCGTAGACCCGCCACGGGCTGGATTGGACAGACACACACGGAAGATGGTCTCTAATTACGAAGACATCTTGTACATATCCTGTGCGCCCCTCTCCTTATTGCGTGACCTGCGCGGGGAGAGCGAGGAAGAACGGCGACAGAGTGCAGACAGGAAGTTCCTGTCGCTCGCAGGCTTTGGGCTTGTTCACACGCACAAAGTGGTGGACATGTGTGTCCTTGACCACTTCCCGGGCACGCGGCATATCGAGGTCGCCGTCCACCTACAGCGACGCGGAACCGACGAGAAAGGAGCAGATGCTGCCACACATTGATCGATGGCTGAGAGAATTCTTGTGTGACTTACGTGGACGCGCTAAAGCATACTGTGAACAAGCTTAGGTCGTTAATAGCATTGTTCTTTTGTTTTTACCCTTAATGACTGGCCAGCTTTGTCTGCGTATGGTACATTTGTGGATACACGGTATTCGAGCCACACCTTACGCCGTAAGTTTACATTGCTAGATCTGGGAATATGGAAGCGCTTGCCTGGTTCCTCTCCACGCTCTCACGCACTTCCTCCAAGGTCATTTCGTTCCGTCCCAAGCCTGCGAAGCATTTCACCAGGTCCACGAGCACTCTTTTGGGCGGTCCCGCAGGAGCCTCTCGCAGCACAGCTGAGAAAGATTGGCGCAGCCAGTCAACCGCCGCGTTGTCCTTACCCAGTAAGGATCTTAAGTGCGTCATCCCTTCCGACGCCAAAAGGATGGAGAGCGCCTCTTGGAAGAGGAGAGAGACTCGCGTGCTGCCTCCGCGCCCGTCGGCAAAGAGTGCGATGTAAAGGACATCCGCTGTCGCACGTTTCACGTTCGTGGGCATGTTTGCTGTGGAGACTAGCATCTTGAATAAGGCAAGGACCAGGCGAGGAGAAAGGTCGTGCAGTGCGGAAACAACACTGTCTTCCGAGAGAAGCCGGAAGGCCGCCTCCAGGTAGGCAAGGGCTTTGGTGAGGCATAGCGAGTTCTCCAACGGAAGGTCCAGTGCCATGATGGCAACTTCCAGTCCTCGGCGCAGGCAGATAGGGTCCTCCGCTAGCAAGCTTGTCGGAGGCGCTCCATCCAGTGTCACGAGGATCATGTCCCGCATGAAGCCGAAGAGCTCCGCATAAAAATCCACAAGGTATTGCCGGCGCACCTGATTCCCCGACTCGTCCTCATCGCCGATTTTGATCGCCAGTCCGAACGAGACCAGTCGACACAAACTATCCGTCGCCCCCTGAAAGGCTGGCCACCAACCCTCTACCGGTGTCCGAGCCCCCGCGGCCAACACCTTCCTCAAGAAACGCACAGGTGCAGGCCACAGGAGGACTTCCGACATGTCTTGCGGGGCGGGGCGTCCGTGCTGGAGGGCCGCGGCCGGCGTCAATGCCTCCCGGTATTGCTCCAGCACTTGCATGTTCAAGTCAATCAAAGGGCGAAGCCTGGTCAGCAGGAGGGGCAAAAATGTCGCTTTGTCAGTTACCGCTCGCAGACACGCCCCCAGAACCCTGCAGGCGGCATCGATGGCCTTGCTGGGATTCTCCGACTCCGTCAATGGACCGAAAATGACTTGGTCGATGGGCTGCCATGCGCGCTGCAAAAGGGTATCGATCAAGCTCAATCCCCCCCCACGTCGCATCCCCGATATGATCGACACCAATACCTGAGCCAACGAGGCCCGACCGCCCGCCGGGCCGCTGTCCAGAACCAGGGCTGTGACGGCGCCCAATTGCTCGAGCAACACCGGTGCAGTGTGCTCGTTCACGGCGGAGACCGTGGCCAGGACCAGCAGGACCAGAGCCTCCACCACATTGGCGTAGGCTGCGGGCTGCGTCGCGAGCACGCTCAGGTCGTCGGCTCGAGAGGGCCTGAGAATGAGGGCCTGGTGGAGGCACGCGATCAGCCGCTGCTTCGTCGCGCCCTCCTTCCCGGCCTCCAGGCAGCCTTGGGCTTTTGAGCACGTCGCGGAGACCACGCGCTTCAGGGCCAAAGCGGCCGCACTGCCCGTGAGTCGGTGGCCCAAGGCGCGGATTAGGAAAGAGATGACGTGCTCCACCAGGCTCGGGGCGGCGAGGTCTTTGAGGTAGACGTGTGCGAGCTCCTGGATGAGAACGCAGGCGGTTCGCCACAGGTAAAAGCATTCCGCGGGGTCTTGAAGGGAAGTAGAGGCTTGCAGTACCCCTAGCCATAGGGCAGGCTGTCGTTGCTCGGCCCTCTCCTCTCTCAGCTTCTCATCCTCCTCCCTTCCGCCCCGGGTCCCCTCCGCCTCCTGGTAGCCGTAGTAGCCCCCTTCCTCCTCGCCTTCCCCCTCCCCCTCCTCCCCCTCTTCCTCGTCCTCCGTGTCGTAGTACCGGTCCCCACTCTGGAAGCCCCGCGCCACTCCTGTCAGGCACAGCAGCACTGCCTCTATAGCCAAGGGGTCGCTGCTGCATCGTGTCATGATGGTGTACAGAATTTCCCCTGGTCGGTGTTTTTCGGGCCAGGTGGAGGCCATGGCTTCGATGACGTCGTTCGCACTCGTCCGGAAGTAAACCTTGTCCATGAAATGGTCCCAGTCCGTTTCTTCGCCGCTTCCCGCGGCCTCCTGGCCCGCCTGGCTCTTTCGCGCGCTTCGATTCATGAAGGCCAGCCCCCACTCCCTCTCCCCCCAGCTCCGCGGGGCCGCGCACTGGCCATGGATAGTCTCCACTAAAGCGGGCATCATCTCCGCCAGAAAGGCGCGGGCCTCGGGGCTGGGAGCCTCCTGCCAGTCCAACAGCTCCGGAAGGAAATACCAGAGCTCTAGGGGTGGCTCCGCGACGCCGCTCAAATCTTGGTGGCCCGTAAACTGAACGAGGAGCTGCAGAAGCTCTCGAAACAAAGCGAGCTCTGATTCCCCCTCGCTTGTCCCGCGCAAACGGTCCCGGTAGTGCTGGAACATGGGAGCCAAATGCAATTGGAGCAAGGTGGTGAGGGCGTCGCAGGCGGAGCGCGCCGCTTCCTCCGTGTCAGCGTAGGAATGCTTCGGAGGCGTGACAATGCGACCCATCCCCACCACCAAACGCGCCATGGCCCCAAACGCCCGCTTACAAACGGTGGCTTCCTCCGGGCTGCCTGGAGGTCCCTTGGGATCGGACGTGAAAAAGCTGTGGCTCCGGAAAGAATCCGTCATTATCTGCAGCACCAGCACATACATCTCGGCGGGGAGCGCCTGTCCTCTCTGGACCAAGGAGGCCTGCCTCTCCAGGGTGCCCAGCACGCCCCCCGTCATCATCTCTGTGGGCGACACCCAGCCCACTTCCAGCGTCGTATGCTCGCTCCAGCTCCGCAGACACTGCAGGGCGGCAAGCTTTACTTTGAGGCCTGCCTCCCTTGCCTCCGGGGTCTGGGTCTGCGCCTGGCACCCAACACGCAAATCCATCAACTCGTCGCACTGATCCACCACCGTGCGCGTCAGCTCCAGCATCAGCAGCGTGTCCGCTTGTTGCAGGTGGACAGTCGATCGATCCCTGCGTGTGCGCCCTGGGTCTCGGCGGTTGTATTCCTCCGGCATGCATTTCAAAATTTCGAAAACGAGGAGCAAGGCCTTGGTCTGGGATACTACGTCCGGCATTCCAGTAATCCCAACCATATGTGTAAGACTCAAGACAAAGGACGGACCAGAGGCGTCTTTTTTCTCGGCGAGCATTTGCAGAAGCATGTGGACGAAGGCCAAGACCATCTGATTGTGCACGATCGGCGCCTGCGGGACGGCAGTCCTGGCCAAGGGGAAAGGAAAAGATGGATGGAAAACACTTGAGAACCCAGGAGACCTCTCGTCGAGCCGATTCGACGTGTCTGATCCTATCCCTTGGTTTGCATGCCTTCGCCCTTCGACACCTCTCGATATCCTGCTGCCGGGTTCCGAGATCGATCCCAGCGCCCGTAGAGCTCTTACCCGAGCATCTCTTGCTGAAGACGCGAAGACAGGCACTGTTGGATGGCTGCTTGGGTCCCTGGATTGCATGTCCGCCAGCCAAGCTGAATTTTCAGCTGTGGGAAAGGGGAAACGAAAGGCAGCGAAATGATGATGCACGGCTTGCTTGCAAACATTCCGACATTTACAAGGAATGTCTCGCATTTCCTATGCATACCTGCAGAATCTTTGTTGATATGAAGAGCAATCGGACGTCAATCGGTTGGGTTGGGTTCAAGGGGAGGCAACCGACGGCCCTGTTCAGGACGTGCAGGAGGACATCCCACGCACCCTCTACGTGCACGAAAGATGTCAGCCATCGGTCCGCTTCTCGCTGTGTGGGAGAGCCGGGAATGCTATCGTACAGCTCTTTAACTCGGTGTAGTAGCTCCAACAACAGAGCTTCCATTTGACCCTCCCTTCGTGATAGGATTGAAGAGGTTACAAGGAACGGAAAGCTGTAAGAGCCTTTCACCGAAGGGAGAGGCTACATGTTCGCAATAGCAAGTAGCCTTATAATGGCAAGCGATGCATAAAAACGTACCGATGACGAGAACGGGTCTCAATCAGATGTGTCGGGAGCGTTCCAGGGTCCTCCAATAGCAAGCTTCATCCGGAAACACCAAGGACTTCCCCTCCCAACCAGGGCTTTTCGGCCTAGTGAGTAAATGTTGATTTTTGGTGTTGTAGGTGCGTGAATGGCCTGACGGACTGGGTCGTCTGGCACCAAAATGGGTGGAATGCGCAGGCCAGGGGGTTGTTCCATACCGACCTCGCTTCGCTCCTACGAAGCGTCGCCCACAAGCCTGATTGCACTGCCAAGCCCACCGCGACCCGACACCCTTTGTCACCTCCACGTCCGCACCATACCAACAGGATGCCACGATTTTACCGCCCTGCTATTTTCTGGCTCCTGCTGGCAGTGGCGCTGCCGGTATGCCCCTCTACCACCGCGTTTGCCTGGCACAGCATCCGACCTCCTACCAAGCTTACAGCAGACTCACCTCGGTACCCCTCCTCGATCTCATGCTCCAGAGGCTCGACCCATCGCTTTGCGGACCGAAGAAGAGATCAACGGATAAATTCAGACCTGATGAAGTCATCGCCATCTAAAGCGGCCCCTAGTGCATTTCGCAAGTTTTCTCCGCTGCTATTCGGCTTCCTTCCTGTCCTGGCTCCAGCTGCCGCGTCCTTCACCCCGACCCCCGCCCATGCCGTGTCAGCCCCCGTCGCGGTGTCTTTTTCAATTATCTCGACAAAAGGGCCGACAGCTTTGGTAGCAGCGACGGACATGGTACTGAAAGAGGATGAAATGAAGGCTGATGGAGAAGAGGTGCAGCGCTTGATGGGTCGAGTTGAGCCGATAGACCGGCTGGGACAGGAAGCTGAAGGCATTTTCAAGGTCAGTGTGTCTCTAGTATTCGTCGAATGTGGGAGCTGTAAAGGGGCGTTGTGTGTTGTCCAAGAGAGGGCCTTGTGGATGCTGCCTCTGATCAGGGAAGGCGGGGTAAGGTCTGTGCTACCTTAATTGTCCGTGACCGCGTGGACCTTCACCTTCGCGTCCCCCTCACTTTCAGCGGGCTCGCATTGCTGAGGCGGACAATGAATTCGAGAAGGCGCTGCGCCTCTATGACAGGGTGACCCGGGTGGCCCCCGGATACGCCTACGCCTGGAGCAACAAGGGCAATGCCTACATCGCCCTGGGCGACCTGGAGAAGGTGGGTCGGGAGGAAGGAGGGGTGGGAGGGAGAGGAAGGCGCGGTTAGGATGGACCTTGAGATAGGGAAGTGCTCCCTGTCAACGATGGCACCTTCGCTGCCCCCTTGTCGCAGGGCCTCGACTCCTACAGCCGAGCCGTCGAGCTCCTCCCCTCCAAGACGGGGGACGCCTGGCTGGTGTACCTGAACAAAGCGACCACAGAGCTGGCACTTGATAGGCTGGATGCGGCTATTCAGGACCTGGATTTGGCCCGCGTCCTCCGCGGCCAGCCGGACATGCTCCTCTTCGCGAACAAGGGACTGGCCCTGGAGCGGAAGGGAGACCTGGCGCAGGCCTTGGAGAACTACGAGTTTGCGGTGCTGACCAAGCCCAAAGACGTGCAGCCGTGGTGGCTGAGGTGAGGAGCTCATCCGGAGCATCCTAATCCCCCTTTCCCGTGATTTCACTTCTCTCCCTCGATACCGCGCCTGCCTGCACCCACGGGCACTGGTCCTGTCTCTCCGCCCTCTATTTCCAGGTACTCCATGGTGCTCTTCCAGGAGCAGCAAGACATCAAGGCCATGGAGGTCATGCGGAAGGTGGTGGGGAAATTCGGGCGCGTGGAAGAGACCAAGGTGGCGCTGGCGAGTAAGTGTCTGGGGGTGGGCTGGGGCCGAGGAAGGGAGCGTGGTCAGATGACGCTCCGACTCTCGTTTTAGTCTGAGTTTGAAAATTGTTGGAAGCAAGAGCGGAGAATAGGGTAGGGGCTAGCGCCAGGGGCACTGTAAGGGTAGCGGCTGCCAAACCTCTCGTGTTCGTGCCTCTCACGCCTTTCCCTTGTGCCTGACAGCCCTGGTCTACGCATACGGCGACAAGAACGAAGCTGAACGGATGTGGAGCGAGCTGAGCGGGCAGACTCAGTACAAGTATAGGGACGAGGATTTCCTTCGCTCGAAGCTCCGTTGGCCCTCACGGATGATCTCGACACTGAGGGACTTCAAGGGACTTTATACTCCCAGAGCGTAGGCGGATGAGGGCGCTGGGGCGACGGGATTGGGTGGCTGGCGGAAGATGGTGTGAAGTGGACTTACTAAGAACTGGGTTAGAAACGTGGCGTAGGCGCCTGAAGGGAAAGAAGTCATCTGTAACTTAGTCACTCCATGTCTCGATTGCTTTTTGACACACATATCTCATTCCTTTTTGTCCCGCGCATCATTCACCCTGGACCCTTTTCCTTTCAGAGCAGACGAGGTCCCTGATCTCCACACAGTGACAGCAAATTGGCTTGCACCGAAAAAAAGAAAGGGCATGGGAACCAGAGGATCAGTCCCTTCTGTCAGTGCTTGTCCTGGGAGTCCGGAAAGGACAGGTCCCAGAAGCCCTCCGGCGTCTCGTAGGGCTTGTGCGCATGTCGGTGTCGAGAGCACTTCTTCAAGATCTGTTCCCGATCGAAGAGATCCCCGACGGCGTCCAAAAAGCCCGAGCATTCCGGGCATGCGTATGCGGGCAAGGCCATGCGAGTCTCGCGGCTTCGGACGACTTGGACGGAGCGATGCTGCTGGTGCTGCTGCGGTTGTGGCACCTTATGCGCCGCTTTGATTGGACCTGTGGGCGATGGAAGGCTTGACTGAGGCTTGCTGGCGCCCCGCGGGGACGGAGGGCAATGACTGCCTGGCGAAATCTGCTTCCTCCCTCCCGCCCCAGTGACCACGCGGGGACCGAGCGCCGCCGCCGGCTCCGAGAGCATGGCCGACGGCGAGGGAGACACGCAGGTTGTCGACGCCGGGCCGCGGTCTCGAGAGTGAACACTTAGCTCGGGCCTGGACGTTGGTCGGGCTGAGGGCCGGGGACGCTCCCAGGGTCTACGCTTCAGGCCCCTCCTGAGCGGCTCTTGGATGCGCTGTAATTGTTCTGACCCCGCGTTTGCCAAGAGCTCTTCGCTTTCTACCTCTTCTTCCCGTGCATTGTCCCTTCCTCCACTCCCACTATCCTCGTCCCCCCCGTGTGCGCCAGGGCGGGAGAGCATGAATGGGAGCCCAGCACCCCCCGGATGAGAAGGGGAAGCAGTCCCACGGGGTCTCGATACCAACGAGGGGCTAGAGGCTTGCTCAAACTCGTCCTTGCTGCCTCTGACAGAAGAGGCGAGGCCAGCCGACACGGGGGCGGCGGCCGCACCGGGTCTTTCGGCGTAGGGTGCATTCCCCATGTCCGCTAAAGGCAAGCGCGGCTCCTTCAACCAGCCCCGCTGGACCCTTCCACCACCCTTCACCGCTCCTTTGGGGACGCATTCCTTTGTCTGGGGCTGGATTTTGAAGTTTGGTTTGAATACGTGCTCTGCGTGGTCTGCCATGACCAGCTCATCTCCCTTCGAGGGCGGACATTTGACATGAACCGCCATTGCGTTCTTTCCCCCTTCTTTCTTTGCCCGCGAAAAGTGCTCATGGGCCCCAAGCTCCCGCTTTGACTGAGTCTCCCGCAGTTTGGATCGGGAAGAGGGAGCGACTGGAAGACCTTGGCTACAGGATGAGTGTACACCTGCCGGCGTGCCTTCTCCACCGCTCCATTTAATGCCATGCGACCCGTCACTAGTTCTTGAGCATATCCCTACGCTTTTCTGCCCGCTGCTCTCAGATGCGGTTTCCTCCGGGCACTGTTGCTCGGGCATTCCCCTTGGGACACCGTCGCCCGACACTCGCTTGATCGCTTTCATGACCATACGCATCTTCTCAGCCTGCCTGGCATTTTTCTGTCTCAATAACTCGTTCTCCTCTCGCAACTCCTCTATCTGACTTTGTTGTGTCTGTTGAAGGCGAGCATAAGATGAAAGAAACACTACATGTCCCCGATGGATGTTGTACGACTTACCTCCAATAAGGCGTCCTTTTCCTGTGCTCTTTTGAGTTCAGTTCTGCGTTCTTCTTCTAGCTGTCTTCGAAATTTGCACAACTCTTCTAATGCGTTATCGAGGCCGGCCACGCTCTGTTGGCAGGTCGACTCGGTCATGGGAAACAGGAATTAGGACCAGGCGGCAGACAGGCCGCGGGAGGGTAAAGGAAAACGTCAGGGCTTGATCCCGTGTTTTCGCGCTTAGGTAGTTCGTTAATTGCTTCCTGTCCGTGTGTAGATGTGGCAGCAGCGATGACGTGTGGAAATGGGCGCTGGGTACGACCTAAACGAACCGCAACTCAGTGGCAACGCGGTGGGATGTCTGTCTCCTTGAGCTCGTGCTTAGCGAGTGAGAGCGAGCAGGAGGGGGAGGGGAAGGAAAGAAAATGGCGCTGGGAACCAGGAGCACTTGGGGATTCGCCCCTATCAACACATGCGTGTTTTTATGTGAAAGTGTGTTAATAGTATGGAATGCAGAGTCATGGCATGACAGGGACATCTTAGGGTGCCACACGGGCTGATAGTTGCCACCCTGAAAAGAACATACGCGCCTTGGCAGAGCGAAACTCGAGCCCTCATGCTCATAATTCCCACCACCAAAACTTCCAACAGCATGGCAGATATACCCGCTACCATGGTGGCACCGACCGCCATAGAAGGAGAAATTTCGGAGCAGCAGCTGGTGCAGGAGCGGCATCTTGCAGCAGAGGCGTCAAGCCTAGTAGATGGGGAAGAACAAGAGCAGGAAACAGGGCAGATTAGTCAGTTAGAAACTACCAATCAACATGACAAGGACGATGGCAATGGCATCTCGGGCGAGAAAGAGGCACCGACCGCAGCCACCGTAAGCAAGAGTCCGGAATTTGAGCCGCCCCTGTCCAGCGTCACCAAAATCATTCGACGGGCAGTAGGGGACAGCGTGCAGGTCGGCAAGGAGGCGAAGGCGACTTTCACGCGCGTGGCCGGCATATTTATCCTGTACATCACGGCCTGTGCGAACGACTTCTCAAGGGAAGGGAAACGGGCGACCATAACTGCCAACGACGTGTACCAGGCTTTGAAGGAGTTGGAATTCGAAGACATGGTCGAGCCTCTACAAGAATTCTTGCGCCGGTCGAACGAAGAGAAGAAAAACAAAGCAGAGATCAAGGCAATTCGAAAGAGGGAGGCGGCAGAGGAGGAAGTGGGCGACAGCGGAGGCGAGAAAGAGGTGGGTGTGTGCCGGGTGACAGGGGAGTGGGGGCAGGGACTTGCAGGGCGTGGGGGCTTCAGATGGCGCGCGGGGGAGGACAAGGGACGGGGAGCTAGAGGGTGGCTACAAGGAAGAAAGACCTGCCTGAAAACTTCTCGGTGGTCGTCCACTTTCGTGTAACCCATTCTTTTCCCAATTTATTCGTTTACATGTCAGGACTCTACCACTGAACGAGGAGAGGAGGACGATGTGGGAGTTGCCCGCGCCGGGCCTGACGGGGCTGAAGAGGAGGAGGAAGAGGAGGGGGACGAGGAGGAGGAAGGGAGCCAAGGGGATGGGGGGGTCTCATACGGGTTGGAGGAAGAGGAGGAGGAAGGGGAGGAAGACGAGGGGGAAGGTGGAGAAGGGGGGGGGGGGTGATGGATACAGCGAACTAGAGATCTAAGCGAGAAGTTAGTGCTCGGCAAAGAATGTTACAGTATGGCTGGTTGAATGAAAAAGGGGCTCTGCCTGTGTCTGTCGCTGGTTGGAGTATCTTTTACCGACCTTGACCGTTACGTTGCTTCTACCGTTGCGGGCACCCGGCAACTAAAGTTGGCAAAATCGAGCTGAACGGGAAAGCATGGGCGGCCGCAAGGGCCGCAAGAGCCGCCGAAAGAAGTTATTTATGGCCGCATTGTTAGTCACGAGGCGACCCCGCGTCCGCTTTGCCTTCTCTCCCCGCCTCCACATTCTCAAGCGCTCCTTTCCTTTCTTCCCCCACCCCGCCCAGGCCGCTTCCTCCCAACATGGCCGGTAAGTACCCGCACCTGGACCCCCGTCAGCTCTGCGTCTTCATCACGGGCGCCACCGCGGGCTTCGGGCAAGCGACTGCCCTTCGTTTTCTGGCGGGCGGGGCCAGGGTCGTCGCCCTGGGCCGGCGCGCGGAACGCCTCGAAGCCTTGGCTCGCCTTCATCAAGAGCAAGAGCATGGTTCCGGGGAGGGTCCCCGGGGCGAGAGCGAGCGGTTGCACACCATCCAAGCGGATGTGGGGGATGTGGAGGGGATGAAGGCTGCCCTGGGGGCCCTCCCCCCCGCCTTCCGGGACGTGGACGTGCTCGTCAACAATGCCGGTTTCGCCGCGGGACTGGGCCTGGCTCATGAGAGCAGCTTGGAAGACTGGCACGCCATGGTGGAGACGAACATAAAGGGCGTGCTCAACACCACGCACTTGCTGCTCCCGGGTATGGTGGCGCGGAAAAGGGGACACGTAGTCATGATGGGCAGCGTGGCCTCCCGCTATCCCTACCCCGGAGGGAACTGCTACGGGGGCACCAAAGCCTTTGTCCACCAGTTCGCCATGAATCTGCGGGCGGATCTGGCGGGGACGAACGTGCGTGTGACTAACGTGCTGCCGGGCATGTGCGAGACCGAGTTCAGCCTGGTTCGCTTCAAAGGCGACGAGGCGCGGGCTAAGAAAGTGTACGATGGCATGACGCCCTTGACGGCGGAGGACATCGCAGAGGTAGTGTACTGGACGACTACACTGCCGGCTCACGTGAACGTAAATGCGCTCGAAATCATGCCGGTACAGCAAGCTTTCGCCCCTTTTGCCGTGTCGCGAGGAAGTCCATCTCCCTTGTCAAAGGGGAAGGCAGACAAAGAGGATTCTTGAAATAATTTTCAAAGCCTTGGCGAAGAAGGAGGGTTGGATTAATGTACTTCATGGGTTGTAAGGGAAATAGGAAGAAATGGGACGGCCGTGGAACTACCGGGCGTCCGACAAAAAGTTGACCGTCCACAGGCAAGCTCGGCGGCGAATGGAGTTTGTAAGCTATTGAAGTTTTTAATAAGATAAGCCGCCATGCCTGTAGTACTGCTTTTTTTTCAGTTTCTCGTTCATTTTGGTCCGGCCCTAGCTACGAGGGTACGAAAAACCGCGACATGGGCCGTCCTCGGTTGGGCCGGTTGCAAGGGAGCTGCCCATAGACAAGCAGCAATTTACGCAAGCTGATTCCCTCTATATGCTACTGTCTGAAAATATATTTGACTTCAAGACAAGAGACCACGCCTACATGTGGAAATCACTTTTCCACGCCGTGAGTAGGAGGCAGGCTGTGTGGGTGGCGGCGACGATGAGTACCTCCCGGCTACGCACCATGCTTCCCGCACAGCGCAACTTTCCCATCCGGATACTAACGACATAAATATCATACACCCCCCGAAAAAGCGGCAGGGTTGGCATCGTCAACATTTCATCGTCTGGCAGACCGCTTGTTGCATGCTGGTGCCTCGTCTCCTCTCTCGTCGTATCGCGTTATTCTCTTCTGCCACTCACGCAAACAACCTCCCCACCACCGTCTGCTGCTGGCATCGAGACTCTAAGTGCCGTATTTTCTCCTCTGTGGCCATGGAAAAACCCGTAAGCAGCAACACAGCTACAAACGTACCTGAGGAAATTCCCGAAGGATTTATGCTAATCAAAGAAGGACAAGCGAGTATGCTTTTCCCAAGTGGAAACGAAGTATTTTATAACAAAGTCCAAGTCTTGAATCGTGATTTGTCAATAATGATGCTACGACTCTTTGCTGAGCGTCGCTTAAGAGACAAAGAGGCTAAACGTTTGAAAAAGGAAGGACTCACACCAGAGCAAGTGACCGCACAACTGGCGGACGTGGATTGGACGGCACGTGTGGCAGAGACGGCGGCAGAGGAGGGCCTGGTGGTGCTAGATGCACTGGCTGCCTCGGGCTTGCGCTCCATCCGTTACTTTAAAGAAGTGCCGGGGATCAAGAAGATTGTTGTGAACGATTTGGAGGAACCGGCGGTGGAGCAAGCGCATCGAAACGTCGCCTACAACCGGGTGGACCCAACCCGTGTGGTGCCCCAACAGGGGAACGCGACCCTAGTCATGTACCAACACGCAGAAAGCAGGGAACAGTTTGACGTGATCGACATCGATCCCTATGGATCTGCCGCACCCTTTATGGACGCGGCCGTGCAGGCAGTGGCGAACGGGGGGTTGCTGTGCGTGACGTGCACGGACTTGGCGGTCTTGAATGGGAACCATCCGGAGGTGTGCTGGGGGAAGTACAGGGCCATGCCCACCAAGGCCCGCTACATGCACGAGATGGCCGTGCGGATCGTCTTACAGGCCCTGGAAACGCAGGCCAACCGCTACAGGCGCTACATTGTTCCCTTGCTAAGCGTGGGGATTGATTTCTACCTCCGGGTATTCGTTCGTGTCTTTACCTCCCCCGCCGAAGTCAAGAAAGCCTCCCTCAAGATGGCCTACGTCCACCAGTCCCTTGGCTGCGGCTCCTTCTATCTCCAGACTGCCGGCAAGTACAGTGGCGACGCTGGGAATGGTAGCTACCGAGGCCTCCGACGGGACCGACCGTCGTCCC